AGAGTGTCGACAGTTCTGGTTTGGGTTCCCTTGGTTCAGGAACTCTTGGTAGCTTCTCATTTTCTCCTGGAAATTCAGGTTTGTTTGGAAAAGATGCAAACCAGGCCAAGTCTGTTACTGCAGTATCCACCAATGTACTGGAGGCTCAGACAGAAAGTGACGACAAAGGTAAATTCTATTTAAATTAAGTATTTAAATAGTAAGGTGTGAATGTATGTGACTAAAGAATACTGCAAAAAACAAACAATACTATGTGGAACTAGATCATAATAGCTCTTGAATTTAAAAGCTGCAAAACTCTACCACTCATCTGGAAATATCTCAGTCTTACATACTGCTTAAGTAACACTAGATGGTATGTGGATTCCAAAACATACGTATTTGTCAGATTTCTGTAACAGAACATAATTCTTCAGCTGAATACAAGACTTGAAAAGATGAAATTGAAATCAATTGGTGCGTTAATCTTTGAGCCTGCAGGATGTTTCAGTCCTGCTGCTTTTCCCAAGTTCTCTCAGTAAAATGCATAAGATATGGAACAATTTCCTACATCTTTCTTACAAGACTAAGGCCAGTGAAGTTCCACACTACCAGAAGGTTTTTACTCTGCTATTTAGCTAAGCTGGGTACAGTAAGATGATAGAGTTCTAGCATTTGAGGGACTGGAAAGGTATAATCTTTCCACTACCTCTTGGCTGTCATTTCTGCAATTGATTACCCTACTCCCAAATGAATCTTAGCTGTTGGATATATTTATTACGCTTTACTTGGACCTACTTGTGGAGACTGTTCTTTGAAATAACTGCTCGCCCCTTGACAAAATGTTTTCATTTGTTAAGCTTTGTATTTTTTTGTTTTGATTGTTTGGGGGGTGGGTGGGTATTTTCATCCCATTTAAATTAAAGATGAGCATATAGTTGCTTGAGGGGGCGTGGCTGAACAGAAAGAAAATAAACTCTTTCTGTAAATGAAGCCACTTCAGAGCCCACACTGATTTAAACATATTTTGGCAATCATTAAAAGGCTACATATGCCTGTGTCAAAGATAGCATGCATAAACTAGCTCTAATACAACACAAAAAAAACCTTCCAGATTAGATTATATGCTTACAACATTAACATATGGAATGTGTTAAAACCTTTTATTTAAAGGAGGAGAAGAGGAGGAAGAAGAGCCACCAAAAGTCATTGTTAATGAAATAAAAGAAGATGATGCTTTCTACTCAAAGAAGTAAGTGATTTTAACTTGAAATAGTAAATAGAACTGTAACTTTGAGAATGAAATTTATACCTGTATATTGCTGTTCTTCACTGCAGTGCATAATTAATGAGGTATATGTTTTTTATTTCCTAGTTAATAAAGCTTACTAGGAAGTCATATAGAGTATGAAGTTCCACTTGTAAAAAAGTTAATTATAGACTTTGTGTATCTTGGACACAGCACCGATGGCTAGTTGGTGCTCTACTTGTGATCAGTTTTTTAGAAATGAAGATTGTTTCTGTCTTCCATCAGGTTTTGTAAACTTAAATTGTATAACAGAATCTGTATAACAGAAATAATGTACTTGTGAAAAATCAGTCAGGTGCTCAGCTATTTGCATAGCCTAAAACAAGACTCTTCAGTGGAAAATGGTGACTGTTACATGCAGTGTATGAAATGTTGTACTTCGAAGTTCAAAATGAGACAGCCTCTGCTAGCAGCATTTTTTTCAAGCATGTTCAGTAGTCCAAGTAATTGCAAGTCTACTTAACACTTAGCACAGAATTTGTCCTTCTACAACAAGTCATTTGCTTATCTGAAGGAAGGTACATGCTAATTTATGAAGTATTAGGTTTATTAGAGCTTCACCTAAACAATGTTTCTCAATTTTACATTGAAGTCTTGTTATAACTTCAGAATGATACAGCAATTTCTTTACTTTTTTTGTAATTAGTGTTTTTTAAACAGTAGCTTATAGTTATTACTCCATATAGACCCTGACTTACAGGTAGCTGTATGTTTTACTGAAAGTAATATGCTATTAGAATAGTGAAGAAATAATTAACTTTCTGATCTGGAAAGTGTATTTTCACACATAAGATGAAGCCAAGAAGAATAAGCATTTTTGCTACTCACAGATGTTAACTCCTGATTATGAAACTGTAGGCTGTGAGTCAGATGTATACATTCATGGATATGTCTGTATTTGAGACATACCTTTGTATTTAATCTCTACGTACCTGCACAAACAAATTTCTGTGGTGTTTTTTTTTCCACAGGTGCAAACTGTTCTACAAAAAGGATAATGAATTTAAAGAGAAAGGTGTAGGAACATTACACTTAAAACCAGCAGGAAATGAAAAAACTCAACTCTTAGTCCGAGCAGATACCAATTTAGGTAAGTAAATTTCTTTGAGTGGCAAGTCTTGATGTGACATTTCTTGCTAAGCATGAGGATTTTTTTTTTTCCTTACACAGCAAACCAGACAGAATTAGTGAAAACTTCTATACTTTGAAGAATTTCAGGTTATTAAATAAGCTGTTGGATGCCTCTAATGAGTATTACAAAAAAGTGTTCATGAAGCAGTTGCAAGGAAGTACAAGGTTATGGTATATGTTTGGGTATTCTTCCCCTTCCCCACTTTTTAATAGCTTTTATCCATTCCTGACTTGTTGAGTGGATTTGTAGTGTGGCTCAAGATCCAAATACATGTATCAGGTGTGAAGAGGAATTTTGTGCCATGATGCATTTGTCTGTAGTTCCTCCTAAATATGTAAATAGTTGGCCATGTGGGCAGACTCCAGTTGCCTCTCAGTGTAAAGGGGAATGTTACACAGAGCAGGCATGCAGGATTTTGCTATATGCGCTGCTCTTAAAATGCACACTGAAGTCCAGCTGTTGTTGTTTTAGCTGACTTCAGTTAGGTCACAAATGGTAGATTGACTTTACAGAATTAGAAATCTGTAGTGTGATAGTTCCTCAGACCATCTTTTGAGATGAATGCTAACACGTACAGCTAATTAAAGAGAAAACAACCCCAAACAATTTATTTGCTTTTGGAAGCCAGGGGACCTTGAGGTACTGAAGTTTTTAAGACTTGAGGACTAAAGCCATGCTGCCCTGTAGGCCATTGGTATATCTTACCTCACCTGCAGTTTATAATGCACTTCAGCAAGTCTGTGTGAAGCCTCTGCAGGCCCACTAGGGACAGTTTTCAAATACCTGGCAAGATTGGGACCTCCTCTGTTACAAGCTTCTACATTATCAACATCTTTCAGTGAAGACAAGGGCATAAAACTGAAGGCAGATGTATGGCAGAGTTGTCAGTGCTTTCAACATTTTCAGGGGCATTTGAGTATGTTGAATATAGAGCACATAAAAACTTGATTTTTCCAAGTTACCTACTCTTTAACACAAGTCTTGATTTTTCACTCAGCTGATTTTCATGGTGTTGATTTATATTCCCTCTACCTTTATCTGAGGTGATGTATTAGGAAGTCTTTCATTTTTCTTCAGCTCATACACTAAGACACTTCAGCTTGGTGTTTCCAAGCATTGGTTTCTAGAAGCTGCTGCAGTCATAGTGATGCACACTTTCCTTTTTGCTATCTTCACACAGTGCTATAACCCTTTCCTAAAATCTCACTGTGTTGAAAAACTGAACTGGAAAGGAAGGTGAAGACTGACTTTTCCCTAAATACTACTACCGTGTTCTGAACTATTTACCAGGTTTACAAAACGTGTGCATCTTCCGTGGAAGCAGATTTGTTTGCAACTGTCTGTTTTAATAGAGCGCTAATACTGAAGCTGTCAAAACTCACCACATAATTTAACAAGTTGAGATAGAGCTGTTATTAATAACTCAGTGGTAGACCACATCAGATGTGCTGTATGATTTGAGGATACAAAGTATTTATTCTGCTTTAGTTTGTCCAGCTTAGATGAACATGTCTGTCCACGTTCAAGCTAACTCTGCTTCTGCTGATAAACTGTGCTCGATGATCTGAAGGAGTAACTTGCGTAAGCATAAACTAAGTGCTGTGACTGGAGTCCTCATCTGCTGCTTCTCCCTTGTCCCCTTTCCTTTTTCCTGTGTGTTGCTACTACAATTTGAAATTCCTCACTCCTCCCTTTAGAAAAGGAGGACACAGTATTTTCAGAGATGTCCTCATTCCTAATGAGGAAAGAAATCTGTGAGAACAGTGGCCATGAGCAGATGCTTAGGGAAGAGTAAGACATATGACATTTATGAATTGCCTTCCTTCCAAACACAATACTTGCATCCCTATTTAGCAAGTATACTAACATCTGTATTGCAGTAAAAGCTGAAAAATTGCTAACTGTAATTTTTCATTCCCTTATGCAGGAAACATACTGTTGAATGTTCTAATTCCACCCAAGATGCCATGTACAAGAACCGGAAAAAACAATGTTCTTATAGTTTGTGTTCCTAATCCACCAATTGATGAGAAGAATCCAGCTGTTCCTGTCACTATGTTAATAAGGGTGAAAACAAGTGAGGATGCAGATGAGTTGCACAAAATCTTACTGGAGAAAAAAGAGGTTTAAATAAGTTGCAGTCAATGATTTGAGGAATTATTGCCAAATTGCTGCTGCTGTATTTTCTTTCATAACTTCACCTGAACATTTAAACTCTTTACTCTGATACTAAGAACTGTTACAGGAATTCTGGAACAATTCTGTGAGGAAAAGCTAGCTAATAAAAACTTTACTAGAACGTGTGTTGGACTGTGCTCCCTCATTTTTCAGTATCTAAATGCAGAACCTCTTCTGGATAACTCACGCTGATTTAAAGTAAAGCATGTATCTTTAACACCAATCAATTTGACTGAATGGACTGAAATCAGTACAAAAATAATGGTACCAGAGCTTCTTCGCAGCCTGATGCAATGCAACAATCTCCTGTTTTGAGAAGGGAGGATGTGGAAGTTTACCATTGAAACTGCTTCTAGACTCCAGATTTTTAATTTTAATTGGTCTGCCAGATTTTGGTGGGACTAATTTTTCAAACTGTCAGTGACAACTCTGTACCCAGCAACAATGATATTCTATATTGTACTGTGTTGTAATTATTACAGACTTGTGCTTTTGGAACCTGGAGACCGCATCTCCAGATATTTAAAAGAAAACTTGCTTGTGTAGTCAACAGTAGTGTTTCTTGGAGAAGAACTGTCAGTTCTGTTCTTACTGTACTTACAAGCTAATGATGTGCAATAGTACAAGCAGACAACTGGAAGACTGTTTTGTCTTGGACCACAACCACAGCTGGCATTCCCTGGCTTCTGACAAGTTGGAGGCAAAGGCTTGCACTTCCATTATGGTTCCTCTAAGGTATTTTTCCCTAGTCCCTTGGGCTAAAAATGAAACCCAGCAGAGGCAGAGTTGTAAATGCTGTACTTGTCTTGCTACTAGTACTTTTCTGAAGATAGCTCTTTTCACAAAAAAATTCAGGATTTTTATAGGTCTTTGTATTGCCTCTGGCCATTACCAAGAATACATGCATAAATATGTGTGTGTGTCAGTAATTGTTTTTCCTGTGTGCTAAAACTACAGTGCTTTTACTGCATTACATGAAATAATGCAGGACAAGCTTTCTGTTGCAAAAGTAGCACTGGATTAATCCTTAATTTAGTTTTCAGCTGTATTAAAATTAACCACATTGCAATAATTTGTGGATCAGAAAATCACTCTGTTCTCAATTTCCATCTCAATGTTATCAGACCTTGTTGGTTATTTAATTATTTTCTTTTTCAAATCTTGTTTGCTGGAAACTCCTTCCATGATCATTGTTTTTCTGCTTCACTTCCAGCTCTGGAAACTGTCCAAGAGCTAGATGTTAGTAGGAAACTTGAACTGCTGACCAGCTTTGGAGAGATGGAAGGAACATGCCAACCTGCCTCTGGCTAATGCAGCACAGAGGAAGAATCCCATTCTTTAAAAAACCAGCATGACAATTATCACAGGGGACTTGGCATCCTGTGGGTAGGGAAAAAGTAGTAGCACCATTTGCTGAGGTGCAGCACACCTTACCTGCTCCCCACAGCTGTCTTTAGTCCTCAATTGCTGCACAGTTCAGGTTATGGCCTTTTTTCCCCCCGTCTTTAATAAAAGGAGGAAAAACAGTTTAGGAGCTAGAGCTCTCTTGACCTAAGTTCCAAACCAAAGGCCTTTGCTCACGTTTCAGCTACACCAAGATCACAGGAATTGTATTTTTAACTCTCAAGTGTGAAGGGAGCTGAGATACAATTTCAAATACTATTTGAAATATAAACTGGTGCCTTTTTTTGTTTGGTTTTTTTTTGCATCTGGCTCAGTACTTAATTAAAAGCAAGGGACAGCTTTCCTCAAAATAATGCTTTTTGTTTTAAAGTCTTGCTGATACCTACAGCAGAGGTCAAAAGCTGAAGGCTGGCATGTTAATCATGTATGAATGAAAAGCAGAACATTGCCTGAAGGTTGCTCAGGTTTAGTTTCTAAGGGCTCAGTTAATTTTTTGTTTGTCTTTTGTCTGCAGTGTCTTCTACCTGTCTCTGTGCAGAAAGGTCTGTAGGTTCAAGTGCTGGGTGCAGTGGGTGGATTTGTTTGTAGAAGCAACTCCCTACAGATTTTATCAGTGGCCTTGGGTTTGTGTTTGTTTCCTTTCAGAAAGCTCATGTTTCTTCATCCACTGAAATGCGGACCAACTAATACAAGTGAGAGAGAAACTTCCTACCTCTCCTTAATGATTTGCATCCCAAGTGAGGCAGCCTCAGGGGTTTGCCCACATGGATTTGGCCCAGTTCTAAAGCTGGTAAATTTGAGTCCCAGTGCAGGTCTGTTGAATTTTCAAGGGTGGACACACTGAGGGTGAGCAGAGAGTGAAAGGAAAAGTAGAATAATAATAAGTGGTGTTGGAAAAATTAAACCTTACAATATCCATGGTAGCAAGCAGTATCTTCTATTGGCTGTGTGAAAAACTAATTGAGATGAGACACCTTAATTCTTTAGCAATGTCTGTATTTATCAGTAAAGCCAGGAGGAAGGTATATAATTGGATTTTCATGTTAATTAGAAGTCAAATATATGCATAAACGTATGATTTTAAACATTTTACATTGGGAAAGTTGCCACTGTATGAATAGGGAAGAATTCTACTTCAAAATAGATTTTAACTGATGTCATAATGACCCTGCAATTATTTGGACTGTGAAATAAATAATACAGTTGGTGTTGATTTATAAAGCACAAACCCTCTCCAGTTCTGTTATAAAAACAAATTTTTGATGATGCTTCAGTTTCTAGTTCCAAAACTAATATACATAAATGCAGTAAAAAGTCAGAGATAATTACAAAGAAATAAAGGCCCAAAATGGGTTAAAAGCAAAATGTAGTGAAGAGCATAGAAATCAATATACTAATGCCTTCATAACAAAGCTGCATGTGCTATTTAGGGAAGGAATTTTGATCAGAATTCTAACTCAATGAAGTATTCCTGTATCATGGTAGATACTTGCTATATTCAACAGCTGGATATCAGATACCTGATGTTAAAGATGCAAGTTTCCTCCCTAACTTGTGTTAATGCCTTCACTGTTTCAGCTGTACATAGGTGTTGGAGTGTCTTATGCACCATGCATTCTTCCTCCTGCTGTAATTTTGAAGTTTCAGCTGCTTGGAAATCTTTCCCTCTCTCCTCCCTAGAATAGAAATTCAAGATCTCTGCTTCTTTTTATTGTCAGAATAATCTGTAGGAAAGATTATTACAGTTGGTTTGAATTTTATTTTAAAATATTAAATTGCTATATGCAGGGTTTTGTGGGTTTTTTTGGCGTTTTTTTTTTTGTAATGTATTTTAAATAACCTCTTTTGGAGCACAAAAGCATGTTTCTATAATCCCTTTTGGTTGATGGATGTGAAAGTTTAAACAAATTTCCAGTTCAAATGAACATGGTGTAGAATGTAAATCAATTAGGAAGTAATGCTTTATGATTAAGAAGTTCAGCCCCCTTTGCAGCACTATCACCTTTAAGATGTCCTTAAAGACTTCCTTTCCAATGCCTCAACTTATTTGCATTTGCTAAAATTTTGTAGCTGGTGCCTGTGTGCAGAAATGAACCAACATTAAACAGTTTCAAGTGGCAATATAAACACTGAATGTGATGATTGTTAATTGAGTTCAAACTGCTATTGAATTTTTCAGTGGATACTGAAGTTTCACATAATTTGTCATGTAACAATGTTTTCATTAGTTCTACACTGAGGAAGCGTACAAAACTCCATGGAAAATGTGAATAAATGAATGGGAGAGAAGTGTATTGTGTGTATCCCTTTCATTTTGACTATTCAATGTGGTATTAATAAAATAATTTTATGATCAGTTCCTTGCAGATGAACTCCTGCCTAGAAAATCCTGTGCACAGCTTTACTGCTGCTAAAAGCAGCCATGTCCATCCCTGCCCCTTCCTCAAAAGCAGCTTTGACACCCGTCACATTTCTAAGAGCCAGAGCAGCAAAAATGCTTGCTTCTTGCTAGGTCAGTGAGCTGAATCAGCTCCGAGAGAGGAGGAGCCAGGGCTGCCTTTCACTAGAGAGAAACTAGTTCTTACCTGCTGAGAGAATGACCATGGAGATCGACCCCTAAAAATCCCTCCACTTGGAGTTTTAAAAGATTTAAGAGCAAAAGTAATCTGTGTTTGCCTCATGATACATGTAGAACAAATTTTTAGGTCTAGGCTAAAAATGCTGTCCTAAAGCCAGGCCACAGAGTGATAGTTCATTAGATTGTGACAATTTGGCAAATAGGGGAGAAGAAAGAAAAGAAAAATCAAGCCAGACTTGTCATGAACAATGTAGATCATCTTTCCAATGCACCAGGAACTGCTAAGTGCTCATTATCTAATTGTACTTTCTGCCATTAGCCTCTGTCATGCTTTTCAGTCCTACCTGAATTCTCTTCATAGTTCTGGAGCTATTCTGCTCTTTGGCCTCAGATGGGAGCTACTTTTCGCATGAGGATACAACTACTGGTTAGCAAAGATTATCTTGACATTCCCCCACCATCACTGTCCCAGTTAAAATGACTGGGGAAACCAAGAGCCTATGTTGTAATTGTTATAAAGATATAACCTTATTTACACCTAAATATTACTTTTTTAAAAACAAAATCTCACCCAAAAAGCAACTTCACGCAGTTGGAATGTCGGCATTATTGCACATTTTGGACATCACTGCCTTCTCTAACAGCCAGCCAGCACTGCTTACAGAATCTCCTTTGTTTTCAGCAGCCACAGAGAAAAGAAAGCAAAGTAACTGCAATCGAGCAGAAATAAGGCTATTCTCATCTCAGGCTGGGGCATGCTAGAACATCGAATGCTTAATACTTTACTAATCACCAAAGATTTTACCACATGCATGACAGGAAGGGGCAAAAGAAACAGTGCAGAAGACAAGACAGCAAGTCCTGAACATTCAGACTAAGAAAATGCAACAGAACAGCCTGCATTCCTCAAAATCCTCTTTCCTAATCCAGCTGAAAAACGCCCCTCACAGCAGGCAGTTACACTGTGTCATACAGAAGTGGGAACTGATTCACCTGAAATGCACATCAAGTGTAAGCTAAAGGCTATTAATGTGTCATTGGCTGGGAAAAGACTGAAGAGACAAATAATCATAATCCAAACAATGTAGACAGAGAGGTTACCTGCATGACCTGAAGCTGTACTAGGGGAGGTTTAGGTTG